GTCAAAACTTTTCTTAATAAAATAATGGTTATCAAAAAAATTTACTCGTTGCTCTTAAAAAGCAGTGGTAAGTCCATTTTCCAAGGTAAGTCTATTCCTGTTGGGAATATGTTTTTGTAATAAACTCTGACCAGACTAAAAAGCCTGTTCTCAGGTGACATCTGTAATCCCATTTGGTCCTAATTCTATGTGTCCCAAAGGTAGCTAAGACAGGTGAGAAAACTGTGGTAACTTTATTTATCCATGTTCTCTCTCTCTCTCTCTTTTTTTTTTTGAGACAGAGTCCCATTTTGTCACCCTCAATAGAGTACCATGCATCATAACTCATAGCACTCTCAAATTCTTGAACTCAAGTGATCCTTTTGCCTCAGCCTCCCGAGTAGCTGAGACACAGGTGCCTGACACAATGTCTGGCTATATATCTGTTATCATAACCAGTTAGGGGCAGAGCTGCTTCTGTTCTTTTTTTCGAGAGAGAGCCTCAAGCTATCCCCCTGGGTAGAGTGCCGTGGCATCACAGCTTACGGCAACCTCCAACTCCTGGGTTCAAGCGAGTCTCCTGCCTCAGCCTCCTAAGTAGCTGGGACCACAGGTGCCCGCCACAACGCCTGGCTATTTTTTGGTTGCAGCTGTCATTGTTGTTTTGGCGGGCCTAGGCTGGATTCGAACTTGCCAGCTTAGGTGTATGTAGCTGGCATCTTAGCCACTTAAGCCACAGGCGCCGAGTCTGCTTCTGTTCTTGGTTGCACTGGTTTGCTCTGATGAGGTTTGTGTGTAGGGTTTGCCATCCACTGCAGGGTGAAGTCCCAACCCTAAGTTTTGCCTCTTGGTGCCCAAAGACGTTATCCTTCCCAGAAGCTCTTTCATTTGTACTTTATTCCATATGTTGAACATTTGTCCCAGGTGGAGTTAACCTATCTTCTGCCTTTTCTCATTCTGACTGTCAGCCAGTCATGAGGCGTTACAGTAGAAAAATCACTGTATCCGGAGTAAGGAAGACTGGATTCAAGACAGGATTTTGTGACTTTGGACTTCTCTTTGCCTCTCTGAGTTTCATTGACCAGTTGAGCTCTATGAGTATTTGCAGCTCCTGCCTTCTCAGGCTTTATGATTCTATTTCTCTGATAAATGAACCTCAACTTCCCTCTTAGTAGTTGTGTGAATGTTAAGCCACTGTCAACTACTAAGAGGGTAGTTGAGGTCATTTATCAGAGTTCCATCTCTCAGCCACTGGTCTCAACATCCTCATAAAGGAACCAGTCAATGAACCAGGTTCATTTATCAGGTTCCATCTCTCAGCCACTGATCTCAACATCCTCACAAAGGAACCAATCATGACCTCAGACTTCTCAACTGGTGTAGCTTGCTGAGTAATGACTACTAGTGAATTACAGCTGAAATTTGTTTCTTCCTTGTCATTCCTTCTGCCTCTAGTGCTTTAATTTAAAGGAGAAACCAGTAGTGATCAGGATACCACAGAAAAGCATGGGCTTTGCTGCCCACATTCAAAACCTGTCTTTATTATTTCCTTTCTCTGTGACATTAGGAAAGTTACTTAACTTCTCTGGACCTCAATTTCCTCATTTTTAATATGGGGTATAACAATTACCTCTACCTCATGAGGTTGTAGAGAGGGTTAAATGAAAAAAATAT